GTCTTTAACACTCGCTCTTTCCACCAACGACACACTTTTCTCTCCTCAGCAACCCTCTCCCATCTCCGCTCTCCCCTCTCCCCTCTCCCCTATTTCCTCCTTCCCCCTTGCCATCCCTTCGCTATTTCTTGTATCATGTATCTCTTCCCTCTCTCCTCTTTCCTCCTATTTCTTCCTCCCCTTCGCCTCCCTTGCTTCCTTCCTCTTCCCCGTAATCCCTTCTCTCTTCCCTATTACCTGTGTCCTTTCCCTTCTTCCCTTTCCTTCTTGTTCCCTTCTCTGATTTCCCCTCCCCTTCCCTCTTTCCTCCTCCCTATATTTCTTCCCCTCTCTCCTCTCTCCTCTCCTATATTCCCCATCCTCCTTCCACCCCTTTGCTCCCTCCCTTTACCTCCCCCTCTTATTCCTCCCTTCTACCTCCCCTCTTTCCCCTCCCTCCCCCACCCCAACCACCCCCAACATGCGACCATGAGAGTAAGAAAAGAGAGGAAAAAGGCTCTTATCAGGACATGTCTCAAGGTACAGGTAGGTTGCCGCCATGCAGGAAACAACGTGTCTTATGACTGTTTGCGAAAAGATAACGGAAGCAAGAACAAAAAGTAAATGAAAAAAAAGAAAAAAACTAAAAAAGAGGGAAAAAAAGAGGAAGAAGAAAGAGAAGATAACCAGGGAGTGAAGTGCAGGTACAACGTTCCGAGACAGTGGACGATAAAGCAAGAATGGAATGGAGTTTTCGAGAAAAAAAAAAGTGTAGCTTGAATCCTGCCAAGAGAGTAAATTTTGTTGGAAATTGTGCTGGTGGAGGAAGCGAATGATGGAGAGAGGGAGAGAGGGAGAGAGGGAGAGAGGGAGAGAGGGAGAGAGCGAAAGAGGGAGAGAGAGACTGGGAGAGAAAAAAAAGGAAAAAAAGAAAAACAAATGTAAAAGATACAAAAAGAGATTGAGGAAAAAAAAGGAAAAAGAAAAAAGAAAAAGAAAGAGAAAAGAAATAAAATCAGCATCAATAAGAAAAATATCCAACAAACACATAAACATCAGCGATCTAATAGGAGACACACACACACACACACACACACACACACACACACACACACACACACACACACACACACACACACACACACACACACACACACACACGCACACAAAATCCGGCACAAGGCATGGTTAATAAAGAAAGAGGATTAAATACATATGAACGAGGAAGAGACCACAAGATACGAGAATAAGGACGAACTTAAACAGAAAGAAAAAAAAAAGGGGGGGGAGGAGGAGAAGGGTGGCTGTGAGGGGAAGTGGGCGGGGCTTCGGAGACTGAGGTGGGCGGGGACGTGGTTACGGACGAGGAAATATGCAAAGGAGGTGGAGGAGGAAGTGAAGGATGAATGAAAGAGGGGGAAGGAGGAAAAGTGAGAAGGACTCGAGGGGAAGAAGTGGAAGAGAATAAAAGAGAAGATGGGGGAAAGTATGGAAGAGAGGAATATAGATAGTGAGGAGGAGGAGGAGGAGGAGGAGGAGGAGGAGGAGGAGGAAGAAGAAGAGGAGGAGGAGTAATAGCAGTAGCAGCAGCAGTTCAAAGAGGAGGAAGATAAAGAGAAGGAGGAGGAAGAGGCGGAAGGAAGAGGAAGAAGAAGAAGAAGAAGAAACATCATCAGCATCAGAAGAAGAAGAAAGGGAAGACGAGAGAGAGAGAGAGAGAGAGAGAGAGAGAGAGAGAGAGAGAGAGAGAGAGAGAGAGAGAGAGAGAGAGAGAGAGAGAGAGAGAGAGAGAGAGAGAGACACCGATAAAGACGAACCCAATGACGGAAGAGGAGAGAATTTCGAGGATTAGTAAGAAGAGGTTTAATAACAAGAGGTATATTTGCCTAGCTTGACATCGGAGTCCGGAATCCTCTTGACCGACTGTTGGCAACGCACGTGGTGAAAGTGGAGGAGCTTAAACTAACGCTCCTTCAGTTTTATCATTTGTCAGTCTTTCAGTCTTCATGCTTTTTAAGGCGCCATTTCATCTCGTGTGTTTTTTAATGTCTCTCTCCTTTTTTTTATTGGGTGATTTTCGGGCCTTTCGTTGTTATTTTTTTAAGGTTGTGTTTTTTTTTGTATTTTTGTTTTGTCTTTTTTTTAAGTTAAATATTTTTTTAAAGTTAAATAAGTTATGTTTGCGTCTTTCCCTTTTTTTCTCTCCTTTTCATTTTTTTTTCACCCAATTTATCACCCATTTCTTTATCCTGATTTATCTTATGATATCGAAGGTTCTATTCTATTTCATTCTATTGTCGTTATTATGAAGTGGTCGCTGTGTGTTTCTTCCTTTTCCAACTTTTTTTTTACTATTTTTATTCCTTCCGTTTTCTGGTCATCTAATCTTCCAGTCAATAAATCTTACTGTCATCCGGTCCTTCAGTCTTTAAATCTTCCCGTTTTCTTGCGAGAATGAGGTAATTCAGGATTCTTTACCAGTTGTCGATTCCACAGTTGTCAGAGCTAAATACTAGTGAATTACTAAATGTGAGCGTTCGTTTAGTGACTTGTCTTGCGGAGTCCTGTAAATCATTAATGCAGTATTTTTTATGAGGTATATTCAAATACAAAGCCTCAGACACATGTACACACGTGTATATAAGCATAAACGTACACACACAAACACTAAAAAACCCACACATATGGACATCCTCGCATGCCTACGTGCTTATAAATGTGGCGTGCTCTCCCTTGCAGTTTTGCCTGCATTCCCGTATCTGTATTCATGACTTGAGCATCCTCGTAAGGCGTTTAAATATCAATCATAATATTCATCCGAAAAGCACAAAGCTCTTTCTTTGAACTTTACTTCATCCCAGGACAAAGCGCTACCAGTTACGGCCGCTATTCATAAAAAGCCGGGGCGAAATCTTACGAGCATTTTGCAAGTTAAGAGATTCCCTTCCCTGGGTATCTCGTCGGAGCAAGACTTAGGATAAGAATTGTGATAAAAAAGATAAGAATAAAACAAAACAGAAATGAACAAACACTCTTTTATTCAACATTTACAAACTTTGGATAAGAAAGTTACCTAGACGTTTGGTGAACTACCTTAGTTATTCTGAAGTTACGAAATAAAGACAAAGGCATTTACATGAACAGAACTTTGGGCCTTAGTTGAATAGCAGAGAATTCACTAGGTATCACTGGAACGCGTTAACTACTAGCGAATGACAACAATTTGGAACTATTAAATGTTAGTTAAAGCAATTTAATATCAATAGTATAGAGCAGCATTATCACAAGTAGCAGAACGAGTAGAAAGTAACATCTGAACACAAAAGACTGACTGACAGACACCTCCGTCCAAAGACAACTGTCTGTTTCTGGCGCTCGTATTTCCCCCAAGCGAGAGGACCGGCCCTCGCTCGGTCCCTCCTCTCAGCGACAGCGGTTTTTCTCTTATGAATGACTGGTCGTCCCTCCTATAATCGACAGTTGGCACCTCTCGTGAATGACCGCTCGTAACCGTTGAAAGACGGTTGGCACTCCTAGTGAATGACCCCCGTACTTCTCAAGAATGACTTTTCGTACCCTCGACAACGCCCGATGGTAATTCCTGCAAACGAGAATTAGTTTTGCAAATTCAAATTTCCTTTGACACCCTCGGAGGAAAAAAGGGAGGAAGAAAACCCAACTCAAGATTCCAGCTCGGTGGGAAAGCAATCGGATCACCAACCTAACCACAGACTTTATCTATCTATCTATCTATCTATCTATTTGTATATGTCTATCTATCTCTCTCTATATATCTATATATGTATCTATCTATATATTTGTATATATGCACACACACACACACACACACACACACACACACACACACACACACACACACACACACACACACACACACACACACACACACACGCACACGCACACGCACACACACACACACACATAAAAATTCTTTCTTCCTCCTTTTTCTTCCGAATACAATGATCATACATCCGCATGCCCATGAATAAACAAAAGGAATTCCCCCCTACACCCACCTGCCTGGAAACACCCCCATCGCCTCTCATTTCCCTAAACACAAACAAACAACATAATCCTGGCTTTGCAAAATGGCTCAAAAATTTCGTTCATTTTCCTCCGCGAAGCAAACCCGCGCTCCCTGGCGACATCAAACATGAACACCTACTATTGTTCTTAACGAGCACAACAGCTGAAATAGATTTACACACGAGTGGCAACACAAGAACAATACAGCGAGATATCTTAGGGCCACCACCACAAAACAAAACGATTTCCTTGCAGGGTATTTTTCCCTTGATTAATGTTTCTTTCTTTCTTTCTTACTTCTTTTTTTTCTAACTCCCTCCCTCCCCCTTTTCTTTTTATTCTCGAGTCCTTTTTTTTGTTTTGTTTTCCTTCCTTCGGGGGAAACAAAGGCCTGACTATGACTGGCCCGTGTTCACGAATAGGCTCGGGACTAAGGGTGTCAGGTGTCCGCCAGAATTTCCATTTTCTTAAGGTAAGGTAGATCCTATTTTCTTTTTTTTTGGGATTCCATGAGAGACTATTTCATTTTTCCGCATTCGTGTAAAAAGAGAAGATGCGCGAATCAGATGTTTTTTTTCTGGATGTGAAAAACGAAAATCGAGAAAGGATGTAAGGAGGATTAAAAAAAAAGAAAAAAAGTAAGAAGTCAACACACCTACCTGACATAGTCAAATAAATCACATATAACAAGCTACTTACACAAAGATATTTCCCACCAGGAAAGATAATCTTAAAATTACACTTCATCCCATTTCCTTCCTTGGGGGATATCATACTCTCCAAACCCTGCCATGTCTGGAGTCTCTAGTTGGTAAAGCACAATTTACAATATGAGGCGAAGGCGGGCTCTATACAACATTGTGGAAGATCCATTGTCAAGATTAAGGAACCATTACCTTATAATAGATAGAACGGTGTATAGCTTTTGTGACCATATGAAGGTTGGGGTTTTTAGAAAATGTCTTGGTCATACTCTAAGGTCTTTTCTCCCCGTCTTTCACTGTCCAGGCCACCACTGGACTACTCAGGCTGGTTGAATGTTTCCACCTAACAGGAGTTTTGAGAACCTTGGATTCGGTCTCCTTTGTTAGGATCTCAGGTGAACGCTCCAGTAGCTCTGGCAACTGTTTCAAAATCTGGTGTTATTCTTCAAACGAATTTTCTATATTATAATTACATTTTATTTATGTTTTTTTGTCTTTTTTATTTTTTTATTTACTTGGAAGTATTTCAAATATACATGGTATTTACAGCATGTGCTTACCGCGCAGAAAAGTCTTAAACAAATATAGTCTCTAGACGCAAACGCAACACAAGTCCATGTTTATGCTACTGTGAAGCCCAAAATTCCTGGAACCTTATTTTTAGTGGTTGTACAATTCTGCCTCAGAAGGCACGTCAGTTATGTTTATGTGGTCCCTTTATGGGGCTACTTATGTACGTAACTGCCCGTGTGTCTCCCATTGTGTTTCTCCGCCACTGTGTCTTACGATAAGCACTCCCTCCCTCCCTCTGACCTTGCGTTGAATGCAACATCTCTTATAAATGATCCTCGGCTTTTTAGTCTCCCCGCCTCCCCTGCTGACCTCCTCCCTCCCCCCATTCTTTTCCCCTCTGAAGACACAGTCAACTGCTAGTTTAACATGTGTGCATAATGAGGCCGTTTTATTTCGACGTGAATGCCGTGCTCTCCTTGCCCTTCCCTCCTCATGCAGCACAGTCCCCACACCGTGCAATGGCCGCTCATGGTAACACTTTCGTTTTTCGTTTCGCAGAGTCATGCTCTCCCCTCTGAGTATACCGTGCCTCCTGTGTGTTCTGTGTACCTTTACGTTTACAAACTCCGTGTGTGTTTCTAATCAAACTGCAGTGTGTTGTGTGCCGTCCTCACAATGCCGCTCCCCCCCTCTTCCCCTCCCTCCCCCCCATTCACTCTCCCGTGTCCCCTTCTGGCGCAGTGTCTCCTGTTCCCTCCCACCTGCCAGACGCAATGCCACGTGTCTGCCTGGAGTCTGTGTCAGATCTTTGCTGGTGGCACTGCATCCTCCGGTGTCGCCGAGAGGCAGGCACTGATGATAGCCGGGGGAGAGAGAAGGAAGGAGAGGGGAGAGGGGAGAGATAGAGGGAGCAAGAAGAGAGGAGGGGAGAGAGAGAGAGGAGGAGGGGAGAGAGAGAGGAGGAGGGGAGAGAGGGGAAGGGGAGAGATAGAGAGAACAGCGATGAGTGAGAAGGGAGAGTGACAGAGGGAGCAGGGAGCTGGGAAGAAAAGGAAAGAGAGAGGGGGCATGGAAGAGGAAGAGATAGAGAGGGGACATGGAAGGGGAAGAGCAAGAGAGGGAAATAGAGGGAGCTGGGAAGAGGGAGAGAGATAGAGGAAACAGGGAGGGGGGTGGGTGCCAGGTGGTGGGCACTTCTCGGCCCTTGTCCGCCCGCCGGGAAAGATATGCTTCA